TTTCAAAGAAGTGCGGGGAAACGGGCGCATATTAATAAGATGACGTCAGTTATTCGACGGCAAGGCGAACGCAAAGAAATTCAAATAGTAAGTCATTAGTTTGCTACTTTTTAGAAGTAACGACATTTGAATCGAGAAATATGCTGCATTAATAAATGTCATGCACACACTCAAGTAACCGTCTACGATGTAGAAAATATCATTTGTACACGCTGTGGTTCTTCACGAAATATACAGAATAGTATACAAAGAAGTTTATTTGCATTATTATAAATAGATACATCTATATAAAGAAAAGCAAATATTTTTATTATTAGAGTGAAACAATTTAATACAATAAATTTATATAAAAAAAAAACACTTTGCAACCAAGATCTACTGATGGCATTTTATAAATATCTAGAAACGGCGATTTCAATCAAATATAAAAAAATAAGAAATTGTTTCAAGTGATATTCATCATTCAAGGCTAATGAAAAACAAAAAATTGATGAATGACAAATAAGAAACAATATCTACAGATGACTACAAAGAAAGGACAGAAATAAAACAACATTTTTGGAACAAAATTTAGTGAAGAATAAAGAAAAAGCAAACATATAATAAAGAAAAACACAAAAAACAACATTAACTGAAGGACAAAGAAAACACTTTTACTGAAGCACAAATAAAACATCAATAGAGACAAAGAATTAAATATAGTTCGTATCATTATGCAAGATTGAAAGATGATTCACATAGTAAAGAATGTGGTAGAATAGATTGTCAGCAGTTGTTTTGTGAAATAGCTGGATATCTAAATCAATATACAATTTGCTTGTGTATTTATCATTCATTCCTATTCTACGAAAACTAGATACAAAAGATAGAGAGATGAAACTTGGCACGGTGGTATCATTTATCATAATATTAAACATCATTTTGTGCAAATATCTTATTCATACTGTGTTAAAAGACAACGTTTTATACCTAACTATAACATCTTGTTGGCATGTGATACAAACATTATATTCTATCTGACTATCTGATAGCTTGCTAAACTTTTCCCTGATCAATGTATTAATGGTTGCAGACAAATTACTTTTATTGTATCCAATAACACAATTCTCTTTAACTATTTACAATTCTTGATTGGAATTCATGAATAAAACGCCTCTTAATGTTTCATGCCAAAGAAACACGTATTGTGATGCATGAAATCACCTGCAGTAAAATGTGATAATGACAAGAATAGCTATACTATGCATAGCAATAACTTTTAAAGCAAAATATTCTAAATATATCAAAAGTACAAGTATATTAAATACAAAATAATTTTTATCATATTAGTCACTTTAAACATTTTGAAAATATGGTCTTTATTTGAAGTCCATCTTACACTACATTATGTGTCCTATGGTAAGCATTTATGTTATATCTATATTCTTTATACATCAATGAAACACATTAGGAGAGAAAATGGATAAGGAGCCTGCCTCTTAACCCTAGAATAATGGGTTCGAGTCCTACTGTGGTCATGATATTGTACCACCGTATTTGTTAGTTCTAGGCATTATACTTCAAAGTTTAAAATCAAGCTAGAGTTAAATACTTCTACATCTTATTGACTTGTTGGTTTAATTGCTGCGTTTACAACTTTTTTCGGTCATATCTCGGTGTTTCACCAACCTTACCAAAAGTCCTGAATAACAAACATTCCTTCGCAACTGACAGACTTTATTTCTTTAACAGCGGTGATGGGACAAAAAAAAATTAAGGCCATAACATTCAATGTTCTAGATCATTTTTTTTCCTTGCCCAGGACTGAACCAGCTACCGATGGATAACTAATCTCTTTCGTGCTAAGCTGGCAAACACATCATTTATAAATCATTAGTTATACTAGTCTCTTTTCAATGAAAAACATAAAGATAACATTTTAGTTGTTTACTTTTTTGTTTCTTTACAGGTCAGACTTTTCACATTGAAGTATGATATTCTTGTCATATGAAGGTTTTTAGTAAAAAGTGTTTGTATGGTTATTGCTTTGTACTGGCACCATAGGATGAATTGTAATCATATTTACGATGTTTACAATTTAATCAAATGTGCCAATCAAATTAAATATAAATCAATAATCTGACAGTTTGAAATGATAGTAAATGGTAGAAGATGCAAGTCTGATTTTTTATAATATACACAGTATACGGTATATACATATCGATTATATGGTACTAAATAGGAAAACAGAGTTTTTTTAGTAATTATTGATAATATTTTAAATGCCAATGGTAATCATTTCGACACTTGAAACATTCAATCCATTTGTTTTTAATCTCTTTGTCTTAATAGCATTCTAAATGCATTTGTACAGCAGACATTTTACATGTAATTACTTTTAAGTTAATTATATATGCATTGAACAAAATCACAGAATTCATCACTTTAATCCTGGCTCTGATGTGGAAATCATATATCTAAATTTGTCTGTTCTCACTGCCTGAAGAAACACATCTTTTCATTCATTGTCAGAATGGGAAGATTTCACGCCATCTGTGATTAATTGAGATTAATTGGTATTGCATGAAGATTGGTCATTAAGAATGATTGCTATTTAATTAGCTGTCTAGGAAATGTATATCGTATATTTTGTTCAAGACACCTGACAGTTATATTGTTAAGCTGATCAAAAAACGATATAAGAACAATATTAGAACAATATGCTTATGCCATGTTGATATAAATCTGACATAAAAGGCCAATATATTTAAATAACAATACATTAATGTCTTGTTGATGAAAATCCAATATAAAACACCAATATAAGAGCAAACTAATGCCTGTCGATATTTGTGAAATTCTAACATCAAAAGTTGCAACATAAAAACAAAATATTAGTATGTTGTTGAAACATTTATGTCTGGTCAATGAACATCAAGCATCACACACTAATATAAGAACAATATCCAATGCCTTTTTGATGCAGATATGTCTTGTTAAGGAATACCTGAACATCAAAAGCCAATATAAAAACAATATAATAATGTCTTGATAATTTACGTATGCCTTGTTGATGTAAATCAAATATCAAAAATCAATATAAAAACAATATACTAATATCTTGTTGGTAAAATCCAATATCAAAAGAATGCTTAAATTACAGAAGGAATTAAGTGATTAAAAATATCATTTTATTACATTGCTTGATGTAAATGTTATTGAAATGATTTTTTTAAATTCCTTACATTTAACAATAGATGTTGCAATAAACGCACACTTATATCATTTGAAGTTTTGAATATATATTATGCTTAAACTTACAGTCACTTTTTTTTAGATATCAAATTAACTATTATGAGTACTAACAGAGATGAAATGACATGTTTTTAAACTCTTCACATTATAGGACAAGTATGAATACATAGAGTCATATAAAAGTGACACTTCTTTAAGGAAGGACCAAAACAACTTGACCAGTAAAAGGGAACACAACTCCCTAAACATAGTTTTTGGCATACTTTATTTAGCTTAGACAAACTCAGGAAGAATTTATTGTTTTCTTGAAATACATGTGCTAAAAAGATTTAAATAACTTTCTGCAATAAAAATATTTTACCTGAAGATCTGCATAGTAATGTTAATTGCATTAAATAAAGTTTGTGAATGAATTGTCAAGTGAGGTAGGAATAACTTCATGTTGATTATATCTTTATTGATACAATAATTTCATCTTCATGTGATAAAATGCAAAAAAAGCTCTTTAGTTAAAAAAGAGCACGACCTCCTAAAATGTTGCCTTTAGGATAACAACTGTTCCTTGTCATGATAAGTGTTCCAAGTTTTATGTTAAAAGCTTTGATAGTGTAAAATCTTTGAAATCATTCTATTAATTGTTCTCTTGAAATACATATGCTAAAAATGATCCTTCAAAACAATGAAATAATCTTTAAGTATTTGAAATACTGAAATTTTTCACTTTGATAAATGAAAAATTCTAAAGTTTTTGAAGAAATTGTTTTTAAAAGATTTAATACAGATACAAGTAAAAAATAATTATCATATATTATAAGATCAAAACATGTACAATGTCAAAAACAACACTCTAAACCATTGTTAACCATTTCTTTTTTAAATTTATGTTATTTTATAGTCTTTCTTCAAATTTAAAGATTTTGCTTAAGGAATTTCCAGATCAAAATTTGAAAAAAACATTAAAGGGACTCAACTAAGGTTTTTTTGACATGATGGGACTGAAAATATTTTATCCAGATAAATGCACCATTTGATGTAGGTTAGACCACTAATCTTTGTGCAAAATTTCAGATCATTCGCGCACTTCGTTTTTCAAGAATAATTATTCAAATTGTAAAAAGATATTCAAAAATGAAAAGCATTTTAACACATTCACTCAAATCGGGCTAAGAAAAGCATAAAAATATTATTTTCAATTTATTTCAAAGTATATTTCTTAACTATCCTTGCATATAATTCTGTTTTAAGTGCCCCAGCTCATTTATGTAACAAATTCAAATGTTATGTTTTTAGGCGCTTAAACCTCAGTAGAATCCTTTTAAATAGTCATTATCATTAAGTATGGTCTTCTCAGATTCCCTAGCTCTTTCTTAGGAAAAATAGAATTAAATACAATCACTATATATACAATTCTTCAAGATAATAAAAATTAAAATGTACAGTCATATATTTGACTATGGAAAACAGTTTAAACTGATTTTAAGGCATTGGTCCTTCCAATAAAGCCTGATGCTGAGTATGAATACTTCCTTCTCGAGTGTGTAATTCCTTACTTGCAAAAACTTTCAAGAATAACAGCATTTACTATAAGATTTTTTAGTTTTATTTCTGGTCATGTTTAGTACATTCTGCATTTCTTGTTTTGTGTAAAATCTTAACAAATATGTTACTTTAAAATTGGTTATGTCCAAGAAGAAATGCTAGGTGAACATGCAAAAGGCTTTATAGAAATAATGGTCTTCTATGAATGAAATTAACTGTTTACTTACTTTTTAATTTGTCAATTTCCACAGACTGGTTACTGATTGTTTCTGCAGGCTCATGATGACTGGGCACTGTTTGGGATACACTTAGTTTATGACACACTTCAAAAGCTTGACCAATGGTCCGAACAATACGCATTGCTTGTTCCTAGAGAAAATTAATTTATAACAGTATATTTAAAAACTAGACAAAAAGGCATGTATATGGAAGGAGATCTTTAAATAATACAAATCTTTATAAAGTATCATAAGACATTTTGAAATAATGAATTCGTCTACAAACTAGAAAATAACTTTTTTTCCGGCTTAAAATGTTTGTGTTGTCATATTCTAATAACATGCCAAGTTTAAAGAAATCCTATTGAACAGTTCTAATTTTGCCTATATGTCTATAATTATGAAAACTCCAGAAAACGTTTCTAATATGATGAATAATAAAATTCTGTTTTAAAACAATCTATAATTTGCAATATGAATAAATGTAAAATGGGATCATGTAACAACATTTATATGTAATTCTTTTGTGTTTTTTACACTAAATACTATCAACATAATTATTGATTGTATTACAAACCAATTAAAGAAGAAAATCAAAATTCTGAAAATGCTTACTTTTGTTCATTAGATCTGATGTTACTCAACATTTAAAATATTACCTTTTTATAAGACTTGAAGACATTACATTTAAACACATTAGTTGGTCCATCTCTAGCAATGTAACTCCAGATCTTCAGATCTTGTGAGTCATGTGACACATAAAATATCCTGAAATATAATCATAATAAAGTTTCATAATGTTACTGATAAATATAACCTTTTCCCAGCTGGAACTGAAAGCATTAAGCCCTTGCCACCAGTGTTAAGCCAGACCAGCCTGCACCTCCGTGCAGTCTGACCAGGCTCTATACTTTTGGCTGACAAACTTTAAATATTCAAATTGATACCCCTACAATTGAAAATAGACAATCCCAAAAATGGAAGTGGGAAAAGTCAATTTAAAATATCCAGCATGTTAAAGGTTAATTGAACAAAGTAGTAATCATTTCTGATAATAAATAATTATATATCTAGTATTTCATAACCTGTAAGATAAGAATACTTCAGCGAGGTCAAATTTTGGCAAAACCAAATTTTTTTTAATTTAATGGTGAGGACAAATGTAAGTGAATTTCTACTTTACAAAGTTAAATCTCTCATGAAAACTTTTTACTAAAATGCTAACTGTTATACTATTATATACATGTGTTAAGATTTATCAAGTTTTTATATGTCATTCTAATACTCTCTGGTGAGCTACTTAATAAACAGGATTGTTTAAAGAAATGATCTATTTGTGAAAACATTATATCATATATATAATTTTATGCTTGTGTTGAAAAAAGCTTTACAATTTTCATATCAATTTGTATTTAGCAAAGATACAAACCTATATATAGGATGGTGAACAATCAACAGTTTGTTATCATCATACCATTGTGGGATTCTCTGAAATATACAAATAGTTTATCATGATTACATCCCATTGTGAAAATGTCTAAAATATACCTGTGACATATACAACAAGTTATTATCATTATACCACTGTGTGTGTCAGTGTCTTAAGAATACAACAGTAATTGCCATCACACCATAGTGACAGTGTCTGAAATATACAAAAAGTAATTATCATTATACCACTGTGATTGTGTCTGAAGTATACAGCAGTAATAATGCAATCACACCATTATTATCATTATACCACTGTGACTGTGTCTGAAGTATACAGCAGTAATAATGCAATCACACCATTATTATCATTATACCACTGTGACTGTGTCTGAAGTATACAGCAGTAATAATGCAATCACACCATTATTATCATTATACCACTGTGACTGTGTCTGAAGTATACAGCAGTAATAATGCAATCACACCATTATTATCATTATACCACTGTGATTGTGTCTGAAGTATACAGCAGTAATAATGCAATCACACCATTATTATCATTATACCACCTGTGACTGTGTCTGAAGTATACAGCAGTAATAATGCAATCACACCATTATTATCATTATACCACTGTGATTGTGTCTGAAGTATACAGCAGTAATAATGCAATCACACCATTATTATCATTATACCACTGTGACTGTGTCTGAAGTATACAGCAGTAATAATGCAATCACACCATTATTATCATTATACCACTGTGACTGTGTCTGAAGTATACAGCAGTAATAATGCAATCACACCATTATTATCATATACCACTGTGATTGTGTCTGAAGTATACAGCAGTAATAATGCATCACACCATTATTATCATTATACCACTGTGATTGTGTCTGAAGTATACAGCAGTGATAATGCAATCACACCATTATTATCATTATACCATTGTGTCAGTGTCTGAAGTATACAACAGTAATTGCCATCACACCATAATGACAGTGTCTGAAATATACAACTAGTTATTATCATTATACCACTGTGATATTCTCTGAAGTATACAACAGTAATGGTGACTGTGTCTGAAATATACAACAGTTTATCATGGTAACCTTTTAAATGTTAAACAGTTTATAACTTTACATGATGATTATACCACATTGTGATAGTGTCTGAAATATTCAACACATAACTGCCCATTTGTTACCATTTATAATACCATTGTGAAAGTCTTTTGAGTTTATCATGATTATGTGCCTTCATGACAGTCTAAAATATACTAAAGTTTTTCACAATCATAACATTGTGGCAATCTCTGAAATATAAAACATTTTATCATTATTATTCCCTGTTGTGCAAGTGTTTGAAATATACAGCAGGTTATCATATTAATATTGTGGCATCTCATAAAAATACAACAGTTTGTTATAGTCAAACCATTTAATCAATCACTAAAATATACAACAGTTTCTTTTATCATTGTACATTGTGACATTCTCTAAAAATATACAACAAAAGCCATTCACCGTATAACAATCTAAAGCCCTTTGTTGAATCTATTTCTTATCTAGAATTGGGTAAATAATGAAGTTATTTGTCTGTCCCATAATGCAATTCAACCATGTTTAAGCAATCATGAACAAGACTGTCTGAGTGCATTGGGCCTAGATTTACATTAAATGATATATCTGTGCTTGTAATCGTGATATAGGATACTTCCTTGCAGACATAACACCAAATGTTAAAATGTATACAACACAATTGTGTTTTGTTAGATAAGATATCTTGGTAATCCAGCCAGACTGGGGACATATTCATCAGTATAATGTAAGATGCAAAATTTAGATTTATAGACTGTGTTGTACTGGTATCTTTTCTTTGCACAGAAATCTATATTTTCCTGCATTAAAATAAATATCAGTCTATTTATTATAAGCACAACAGGGAGAAAAAACTGGACCTAAAATATCTTTTAAGTAAACCAATTTTCTTTGAACAATTATCATGTTCCTTTCTTATAAATGTATAACAAACATGAAACTGGCAGAATCTGTTTAAAGCTAGAACAAGAAATAACATCATCATTATATCAATCTAAATTTTGCATTAAATTTTGCAGGAATATGCCTTGTTTAAATGTTGTATGCCAAAACATTTCCAGAGTTTGTAAGTTGTTTGCAACACTGTCACATCTTATATACTTAATTTATCTTCCAATTTATTCAGACAATTCTATAGTCTTATAAGATATTTCTGTACAACTTTGCCACCTATAAATGTGTCTCACATATTTATATACTATTTAAGACTTTAACACTTGTCTCTCTAAATATAGAATAATATGTGCAAACATCTTGGGGTAAGAGGGTATAATAAATAAAGATAAGTAGAAGCCTAGACAAATTGAATGCGGTACGTCTAAGCAGAGACCAGGAGACATATTATTGATCATTCACGCTATTAAATTAACACATAAACATTTGTTACAAGCCAGCGCCAATATAAATGTGACAGGACATGCCACACAATTCCATTAACACTGAAACAAGATTATCCTGTTGGGAGAGGAAAAAAAACTCAGCCATATTATCGAATTTTCTTCAAGAAAGACTAAAAAAAACTTTTTAGCTCTTAGACAAATCCTTACTAAAGATAGGACTTTTGAACTCCATTTTTGAAGGTTTTCTCAGGAATGGATGAACACATTTGCATGGAATGGATGATCAAACAAGGCATTAAATTCAAGCAAAAAATCTTGTTACACAGATAGATATAGAGAAAATGAAATGACTTTGGATCCAAATGTGGAAGCAGAAACTGGAAACTTTGAAGTTTTTTTTAAACAGCTGACATCTCTGAAGAATTTCACAAACCAATTTTCTTTTATAAAACTGCATGCATGTAATGTTGATTTTGTATTAAACAGTTTTGAGAATTTATAATCATTTTTTTGTATAACTATTTATGTTTATTGCTTCACAATTGTAACAAAAAATTTCATTGGATAATCATGATGTTTATACATGTTTGTATAATCAATATGACATACCATTATGACTGTACCATTTATGAATTGATCTTCATTTTTTCTCAATTAAAGGAATTGTGCAGTATCAATATCAGTATAAATTCATAACAAAGGCTTTATTATTTGTTTTATAACCCTTGCCTGTCAGCTTGGGTTTTAACAGCTGATAATCATTTATACTGATCTATATCTTGTTAAAAATCTTTAAAGCTTATAATGTACAATTTCATATGAAATGTATGAGTTCATTTCTACTTCATTCAATGAAATGAATTTAAGTCAGTATTATAATTATATTTGTAATATTGACCTTTGACATGTTATATGGCCAATTAATAGATACATAGTTATTTTTATATGAATCTCACCTTGCAACAATGCTTATAATTACTAAAGCTAATTAGCTTACAATACTGGGCCATTTAACCTGTCAAGAATCCATATAACTTGAACTAATAACATATCATGACAAATAACACAAAATAAATATTAGCTTACAATTCTGGGCCATTTAACCAATTCTGGGCCATTTAATCTATTCTGGGTCATTTAACATGTCAAAAGTCCATATAACTTTAACTTATAACATATCAAGACAAATCATAAAAAACAGAGAATTGGTCAAATCCCAATAGTCTTTAACAGATTATGTACTGTAACAGCAGAAAGGTATGCATGTTTTCTCCTCCCAATCTATTTGTCCGGGATAAAATGGTAGTCTTAATTTAAGATTAGTGAGTCACAAGGTGACAGTAACTGTTTCTTTAACAAAATCACAGAACTGATCACAACATTAATGACTGTAAGATTGTGTGATTTGTGTTTAAAGTCAAGTGCTAGACAGCCTGTTCACTCAGTCAGTATGAATAATTGATTCATTTTCTAGCAAACTTTCCTGTAATGAGAATTTAAATGAAGGACACTAAAGAGTGAATGATCAGTTTTATCTAAATTTATCTCACTTCATTTCCATATTCTTTAACCCAGCAAATTCCTTGCTGTTTTAAATCAAACAAGTCAATGGTGAATGTAACTCTTTAAAAATAATTGGTTATATAAGCATAAGTTTAAAGCATGGAATATTTAAGGGGAAGGCAAAAATTTGAGAAAAGTAAAAGAACCATTTGTGAGCACCATTATATATCTGGATATATTATAGTCTAAGCAAGAAAAACATTATATAAATCACTATATTTATCAGGATGATATTTTTGCTGTTACTCACAAACCTATATGACTTTTTTTGTTATCTATTTCATTATTCCAAACAAATATACTTCATTGGGACATTGTTTCTATAGGATTTTATTTTTCAGATTTGTACTGGTTACAAAAGTTTTTAGTCACATGGTACACATGAATTAACAGTAAGAATAACACCTATTGGTCTATGGAAAATTAACATTACAAAAATAATGAGGGGTAATAATAACTTACTGTTAACATTATAAAAGTTTAGTAAGTACTTAAACTTGCTATGTGGTCTAAGCATAGAAGAGTTATGGAAAACCAGTAATTGTTTGTTATTTGGTCTGGGCATAAAACAAGTTAGAGAGTATCATTAATCATTGTTATTTTGTCTAAACATCAATGGAAAAGTAGGAAGTACCATTAATTCTTCCTATAATGTGGTCTATGCAGAGGAAATTAAGGAATTTCCTTAATCAGTATAAAATGCCTTAATTACAAAATTTGAATTCACTTACAGCTACCTTATTTACATAAGTAAATGTGTAAAATTGCATAGTGCTTGATTGCTAAAAACATACTAAACTCTTTGAATCCTAACTGCAAGTATATCATCAGTGTAAAGCCATGCCATCTAGCAAATCAGTATAGTTTGACCACAGTCATGTTACAATTTGGTTGCATTATAAACTATAGCTTATTTGATATTGAAATGACAAACATTAAGAAAAGACTGTTTCAAATTTGAATACTCAACACTGACAGAGATTTCCCTTATATATATAAACAAAGAAATATATTTTACAGTATATACACGGACAGTGTGATTATATTACTGCCCATCTGAACTCCTTACCCTGCTATGTATAGGTTAGAGTGCATATTGGGTGTTCTTCGTAAATAAGAAAGCTAAAAAGGAGCGATAGCTTGCGAAGCGACTGTAGCTTTCTTATTTACGAAGAACATCCAATATGCACTCTAACCGGCTTAGTGCTCCGCCCACTTGCGTTTTATAATATAAAACGTCCAGTTTATATAAAATCTGTTCTATTAAGACTTGTAACCTGAAAATTTGAAAAAACCTCGTCGGTGATTGGCTTAAAAAATTGGCGAGCACTAAGGCATATAATAACACAGCTCACTCTTAAAGGAGATCTTTTTCCTAATTAGAAACATTCAATTGCATAATTTTAGCATGTTATAGGTTAGCCATAATAATTATAATACATTTTAATTAGGTAGAGTACAAAAACCAAAAATAGAAATAAGTAAGCAAAAAAATTGCCTTCCCATGGTAGGTATTTGGCCTTTAGAAATGAATTCCAATAGTGAACCCAATAGTTAACAAGTATTACAAGTTTAAAGGGAATACCTTGATAATTTAGAAGAAACCAATTTGGACCTTAGTACAGAAATATTAACCTTGTAAAAATATACAAGTAAACAAAAAAAGACATAATATTGCAAAAATAAGTTTTAGGATATTCTGTCTTTTAAATATGGTCTAACATTTCCAACATAATAGACTGCAAGAAACAGGCAAAACTATCCCAGCGTCAATGCTGACAAGAGAGTCTGATTTGGTGACCATCGATAAAAGCTCCACTTTTTTCTGCCAAAAAAAAAAAAAAGGAGCAAGATAAGTAATATATTATCTCTGCTTCATTTAACCAAATTTCACTTACATAATAACAAACTAAATTAATGCACAGCCCACATATCCTTGTCTGAAAGGGAAAAAGCATCTAGTGTTTCACATTAGCTATCAGTGTGGCAATCTGTTCGGAAATCTTGTGACAGTACAATCCATTTAACAATGATTAAGGGAGAACAATCAGCTTTGATAAGAAGACAATCCTCCCCGGGATTAATTACCACCGGCAGTTGATTGATTAATGAAATCAGTTAAAAGCTTCAATCTCGGTTCTATTTTAATCAAATTATGTAAATATTCCTGCCATGTAACAGACACGGATCTTATTCTGGGAAGAACTGTAGACAACCAACAAGTTTTTTTTTTGCAATCTTATGTGATGGAAATATTTCTGAGAAAAGCAAAACTGTGAAATTTGGCGGAGTTGTTTCTAGCACTTATTTTTCACATGTTTAATTAAAATGCAGGATTGTTTACTTTATGTTCAAAGTCCGGCAATAAGTTAATTGGTTTTAATTAGCAATCAATCATACTTAACTGAAATTGCATATGCTATATATTTTTTTTTACTCCAATTTTGACCAATTGTAGTATTTGGAATGTGGGCAATGGTACCAATGTATTGAAATAATACTCTTTCATTTACAAATATTTTCAAGGAGATGTAGATATATCACCCCTAAATAGCCAGGGTTTTAAAGATTAAACCATATTTAACTGTCTTTAAATCAGTAATGAAAGTCAATAGTCTTTTAATCACATTAATTTTGATTGATGTATTAAATTTTTGTCTTCATAGGATAATCTCATTCTGTGTAATTCCAAATTGAGCTAAAATAACATTTAACAATGAATCCTAACCACACTATATATCTTAAATGACTTTATCCGTCTTTTCAATCGGGTCAAAACAATTCATACTTTTAAGAGAAAGTTTCAACATATCATCTGCCTGAATAGCAAGCAGTGCAGACCATGATCATTTGGCACTGATGTGTCGGCTTATCTAGGTCTGCACTGGTCACATAGGTATATTCATTTGCCTCCTGCAGGGGAAGCATTTCATAATGATTAAGCTGCACATATCCTTCCTGACTTCAACTGTGTTCAGTGTGTCTATAAGTTTTCTATTTGATATTATTTCCGTTTGGAAAATTAAGTACAATACATACTGTATATACCCCTTGGAGGATGTTAAAGTATTCCCATACATGTATGTACCTGTATTAGACAGCTTATTAAATAAGTCAATCTCATACACTACAAGTTGTATTATATAATACCCACTGGGACCTCACTGACAATGTGGTACAAGACAGAATGTTGGAAAAGTTATGTCACTGAAGATAATACCTTAACAATAGATATATTTGCTATATATATAAGTGTCTTGGTTTAGAATTGTACATTATTTAGGGAAGAGAATGTGTATAAAGCAGCCAGACAGCTCAGTGAGTCTGAGAGCCACAGAATGGTATTCCGGGTACAAGGTTCGAGTACCGGTCAGACTGCACGTTATCTTCTGCAAAACATTAACAAGTGCATGTGTTTTTTTATTAGTAATAGTTCACATGCATAGTCCTTAATAACATTAGTGTTATAACTGACAACCAAACTTATTGGTTGGGTGTTAGGCCAAACCCTAGAGACAGCACTGTTTTATGTAGATTTTGCACCGTTATATTTAAAATATTTTGCCCCAGAAACTTATGTATACCAAAGTGATGCACTGAATCTTTGAGAAACATATTTGACACCATTTATCCCATATCACTGAATGATCTAATTCTGAGAAACTAGCTGTCTGTAGTTTCATGACGGAAAAAAAATCCCCAAAATATTTTACCAGTCTCATCACCAAAAATACCATCAACATAATTTACTACCAATTCTGTTATTAAAGCCAAAAAACATATTAGGTGACATTACATAAGTACCTGACAGAATATACTGCAACCAAATTGGCAATAAAACCAAATAAAACATACAAAATGTAGAACATTTTTACCTTTTTCTTTTTACATATTGATACTCTGACACCTTCCACAGACACTGTCAAGTCTACTTTCTTCTTCTTGATGCCCTTTGCTTTAAATTCATACTGCAAATATATAAATAAGTAAATATACATGTAACAACAAATTAGAACATGTGATGAAATTGTGCAAAAATTGCAGCAGCTTATATGAAATAAAGAGGGACTTACAACAGTATTGCGGTCAACCCTTGTAAGATGATTTATGACACTTTTACTATTAATTGTTTGTTTCAGTGTTAACAATTTAATGTACTTATATAATATATATTTTTTGCCATTTATTTAAATCTTCCATGTATTATAAAAAAAACCCTAAAAATAAATCATTAGAAATAAAATTGATCTTAGTTTAAAGAGGAAAAAACAATGTATCTGTTTTTAGACTATGACGTCCCTGTATGTCATGTTTGACAGTATAAGGTTTGATATAAGACAGTCTCATGCCCTCCTTCACTTCATATGTGTTACCAGCATTCGGTATCAAATATTTGGCAATTGTTGGATCAATCTTCAATAATATGATTGATTCTATTAATTACAGGGCTTTTAGCCTCCATTCCTAGACTGATGGACATTTACAAACAAAATTAATAGAACAGAGTTCATCCAAAATATCATGTCTAAAAATATTTACCATAAAATCAAAATTGCCAAAAAAAAACTGACATACCCAAAGGGGCAAGTTAAAATAAATGGCAATAAAGTGATAAGTAAGTAAGATTTCAAATTATCATTCCCTTAAAGAAAATTTTAATTGATTTGTTAAAAATATATTAACTTTTTTCAAATTTTAAAAGGACTGGTGTATTAGCAGCCTGGTGTAAATTTAATGTGTTCAAATCTGAATTCACAAAAGATCCCTATTTAATTAGGTTGAAAAGGGCAAAATTGTTACAGTTCCAGTAAAATCTAAAAATGAAATTTTCTTTTAAATCATTTAAATCTATTATGTATATGTATCATTTACTATATATAATCTTCCATATTAAATATCACCAAACTTTAGATATCTGATTTATCCAAAATTGAGAAGTTACCTTGGTATACAATAAATTTATCTCCCTTTGACAAGTTACATGTACCTTGACCTAAAAAAAAATTACCCTGGCCTTTGGTAATTTGCCTTAAGATATAATAAATTTATCTCCCTTTGATGACTTACCTTGGGATATTAATAAATTTATCCCCAATTTAAAATTTACCTTGGGATAAAATAAATTTATCTCCCTTTGACAATTTACCTTGGTGGGGAAATCGCAAGTTGCCTTTAGTATTGGACAATTGATATTCACTACACACCATGACACTTTTTAATTATCATTAAGAATGACAAAACATAAAATGGAATAAGGAAATAATAATAACATCTATCTATAATGTGTTATTGAAAATAATTATACAATAAACATATAATATGTGTATGCACATGATTACTTGTAATAAATGTTTCATGTTAAATTGGGTGACATCATTTTTTACAATCTTGCCATGATCTCTCTCACAGATCATCATAATGCAGCTGTAATGACTTTCTTATAATATCAGCACAGAGTCAGGATGGAATGGAACATCTGTGCAGTGTGGCTGACTCTGTTATGTCAGCTGTTTGATGTAAGCATTTTGATAATGAAATCATTTACATCAACTAGAGACATTACAATGGCCTTTATATTGCTCACCTGAGTAAATGGAAATGTTAAAGTAAAAATAAATTCTCTAGGGCAGGGTTATAATTTACTACCCCAGGTAATGATATATATCATTTTCATACATATCAAGTTCTAGATAATGTAGTATTCCAAATATCAAATCTTATTTTATTTTATGAAAAGAAGAGAAAGAAGAGTTTTATAATGTTTTTCCTCTATAAGTCTTTTTAGCAAAACATTATTTACCAAGGCTCAGCCATGATTCAAAATAACCATTTTGGCTATTATGGTTGTATTTTCAACATGTTGAGACATTACCGGTAATAATAAAGTTTATACAAATTTGGGCTGAAAAAAGAAGTAGTTTATCAGCATAAGTGGCATCACAAGATGGGAAAAAGAATATATTTACCCTTATTCTTCTCATAGCCGCCACAATCTCCACTCTACTACTTGGTCGTGGAACATCTAGTGTACCTATATACTGTAAAAATGAAAAGGAAACATTTGGTTTATATAGTCAAAAGAAGTAACTTCATTAACAGTATCTAATGATATAAAAACCTTTCACATGCAAAATAAAAACAAGTTTCATTACTGCCAGGCACCCATTGTCACTAATATCAATGTGTTGAAAAGTGACAAACTAAGTATTTATTTGGATGTGAGGGTGTTAAAGTCGAACCAACACTGCTAAGGTCATAATTATGGCAACTTTCCTGCATTCTAGGCGGAGGAAACCTGACTTAGTACACCTCTTAACATTTTCTCAGAAATGAGTGGGCATCTGAGCCATCTAACTTACATATTAATTAAGCAACAGAAGAGAGGGGCCACTTATTAGAAGTCAGTCACCTTTACTGCACTATATGCTTGATGGAATATTTGACTGTATCCATGCCAATAAGCCAGGTGGGGTTTAGAATTTAATGTGTTTAATCTGTTATATACAATTGATATCTTTTCCTCCAATCAGTCTGAGTGTTCACTTTAATGAATTTATCTTTTGTTCGTTTTCTGCCTGTCTGTTTTTAACATCTAGACTATTTTTAGAGTTTCATGTTAAAATAAAGAATTTTAATTCTTTAATTCATGTAAGCAGTGGTTATTCAGTAGTCTGAGAAAAGAGTTGAAATGATAATATAAGAAATACTAAATAGCATAATAGCATATAAATAACATATATTTTTAACAGTAAGAATAACTACCATGGGAAATAAACATTACAAAAATAGTGAGGGGTTATAATATTGAGACCACACTGACAGACCTGTTAGACTGTGAGTGGTTTTATGTTGGTGACTCTACTGCATGATCTTTTCAATTAAATATTCAATGGACACAATGCAGCTTCTTTCTTTTTTCTTATTATTACCAAGTTTTATATTCATGTCTTATGTAAAACTTATAGAAATATTGATAAAAGAACAAGATATGGAATACATAATTTTCAATTATATTCTTTGTAGAATAAGAACAGAAGTTTTTGACATTTAATTAATAAATTATGTTTTACAATATAGGACCAATATGTTCTTGTTGACTTGGTTTATTTACAGTTTTAATAGTTTTTTTGTTTTTTTGATGATCCTTATTTATATCTGTGTCATTCTAACAAAATCAATGCCATAATAAGCATAGGTATATTGACAGTATAATTTTAATAAGTTTCTACCAAAATTGTATATATAGGGACTTTCTATTAATTCAATTAAATATTCATAACACAAGACTTAATACTGGCAGTAATAAAATATCTTATAATGTCAGATTAGCTGTAAGTCTAGATCAAAGTTAAAGTTAGACAGATGGCTTCCTCAAATGAAAGAATTCAAAGACCCTAGCAAAATTCGAACCCATCAATGTGATAGGCAAGTGGTTTAAAGTCAAAAACCTTAACAACTCGCCCCCCCCCACCACCACTTCCCCACTCCCCTGTCTTTTCATGCAATAATTGGTCAAAAGGAAAACAGAAAATAGTGAAATTTACTATGAGACAATTTGAAAGTTGTATTCAGAGCAGATTATCTAGAGAAGTTTGATTGTATTTTATAGTTTACTCTCCTGTAGTGTTATGTCTTTTACAGATAATCAAATGGCATGCATGGGAATGTTTTAAAGATTGAATGATAAAGATACTAAATGTTATCTCCAAAGAGAAATATCCCTGCCAATGTTTCAAATTTACTGCTTTTTCATGTTTATAAGTATGCTGTCAGGCAAAATATTGTTAAGATGTGTACTGAGAAGGATAAAGTATAAAAAGATCGAGAATTTAGGTGTAAATTCATATGACTTTCCAAAATAGCTGTAAATTCATATGACTTTCCAAAAACATGTTACACACAATTCTTAACCCTTAACCTGTTGAATTTCTTTAATGAGCTTGTCCAGTTTCCATCATCTGGAACTATCTATTAGTACCAAATTTTGGTAATATCAAGATGAAAACTTAGTTAGCCAACAGTAAAGAGCCTCAGGTCAGAGTGCGCTGACAGCATTTTAAGGTCTATCCCTTTCTGTTCCAACAGGGAAAGAGCTAATTAACTATTAAAACATTTATTATTCAAGCATATCAAGTGTTCCAAATTTAATTTCAAACTGTAGTTTAATTTTGATTATTTGATTATATACAATGTTTTTTAATAATTTATGAGTTTATACTTTGGAATTTAACAATCAAAATTTTATATTGCAGGCTAGTCACTTTTCAAGCATTTAAATAAAAACTGTTAAAAGGAATAACAACACTTTTTTTTTTTCTTGAAACATACATAGTGGAAACCTGAATGCTTGCCCAACACAGCCAGTTTGAAAATGCTGCATCCTGAAGACTCTTTGATCATTATTTTATGCTAACAAAAACATTCTGAAAATCAAACATTAAAGGCCCATTATGCTCCAGTAATGCCATTATTTTCATTTCTCAAACACTTCTTATTTTTGTTGTCCTGTAAAAAAGCCCTCATTGGCAACAGAACTGAGAGCCATAATAATTAAAATTCAGATAGCTTTTTGATTACTTATACAGAATGATACACAGTTATTCTGTATATTTTATGGTAGTAAAAATACCACTTCATTTATGTTTTGCTCATTATAATGCAAGTTATTTCACATTCAGTGATACTAACTTCCCTCATACCCATATCTATTATACAATCATGTACTTTAAATTTATTAATAATATTATTTAACACATGTCCTAAGAATTAAAATAGTCATTTATGAGAATAATGTGTCTTTAACCAAATGACCAACATGTTCAACTTTGAACCAGACAAGTCCATTGTGATCGTGAGGCACTTCAATGTTTAAAAGCAAATTTTAAACTTATATATATCTAATTATATTTTTTGTTTGGTTTTACATGGCACCAACACAGTAAAAGTCATATAGCGACTAACATTCCAACTTTATTGGTAGAGGAAGACCTCAGATGCACTTCCGTGCATTATTTCTGCACAAAGGGGAACCTGAGTAGACCACGACGTTCTGTAAGCTTGCTGTATAGTGGCCTGACATGAAAGAATTCCAAGTTCTTGATGGGATTTGAACCCACAGTGGTATGAGGCAAGTTGTTTGAAGCTGATGACCATAACGTTAACTCAGCCACGAATGCCCTTCTTTAAAGTATTGGTCAGTTGTGTAGATGAGAAGACATTATACTCAATGGCATAGGCAATTACTTTTAGGTGCAAGAATTTAAAGAATTAAAAGCACAAAAGAATTTAAGGAACCTTATAAAGAGATTTTCTCTTTTGCCCCATTTAAATAGAAATCCACTGAAATAAAAATGTCAACATGCTAACAGCATTTGGTCTTAAAATAGAAAATACTATTCAGTTAAAAGACTTTGCATACCTTGCTACTTTTTTTCTATGGAAGTGCTTCTTTTCTTGACTTAAATTAACTGGGACTAATTCATTTTTCCCTAAAAGGATTTCTAATGTGATTTGTTACATATTTGGATGCATTTTAAGAGACTTTGTTGGTTTTTTTCTCTAGAATGATTTCCCAGTGACACACTGGTTCATTTGAGACTGTCTTTCCTCATTAATCTTCATGTGACAGTTAACATTCTAATATTGGCTACACATTTTAACAACCCTGTTATGTTGGTGTTTAAAGGCCCATATTGACATTGCTACATAATTAAAACCCTGTTTTCTTGGTGTTTACAGGCTGGCCCATATTGACATTGCTACATAATTAAAACCCTGTTTTCTTGGTGTTTACAGGCTGGCCCATATTGACATTGCTACATAATTAAAGCCCTGTTTTCTTGGTGTTAACAGGCTGGCCCATATTGACATTGCTACATAATAAAAACCCTGTTTTCTTGGTGTTTACAGGCTGGCCCATATTGACATTGCTACATAATTAAAGCCCTGTTTTTTCTTGGTGTACAAAGGCCCATATTGACATTGCTACATAATTAAAACCCTGTTTTCTTGGTGTTTACAGGCTGGCCCATATTGACATTGCTACATAATTAAAACCCTGTTTTCTTGGTGTTTACAGGCTGGCCCATATTGACATTGCTACATAATTAAAACCCTGTTTTCTTGGTGTTTACAGGCTGGCCCATATTGACATTGCTACATAATTAAAGCCCTGTTTTCTTGGTGTACAAAGGCCAATATTGACATAATGCTACATAATTACAACCCTGTTTCTTTGTTGTTTAAAGGCCCATATTGACATTGCTAATTCCTAGCAATCCAAACTCCAAACTAGCATCAAATAGCTGATGATCATCTTTCAGAATGATATTCACATCCTTCATATTATATACATGTACTGGTAATGCTACTTTTTTGTGGAATTCTTTTTTTTCATTTTTGCCAAAAAACATGTAGGATAGGTTGATTTGACCGGTGTGAGATAAACCTAGATAAAACTATGATAAAAGCTGCCTCAAAGAAGCATTTTTTTCTAGAGTTTATCACAAATTTGTGTATTATCTTTACCTTTGCCTGGAAGTGTATGCCATGTTGGAAGGCGTCATCATTGTGTAGTGGGATTTTGTTGTCATATCCGTCATCCGAAACCAAGTCATACTCTTTCTTGGACGGCATACTCCCACATTCTGAAGTAGAATACAACTGATAAAATAATGTAACCTTGTTCTTTCCTTTTACATTTTTATAATCTATTGTCAAGCACCACTTTCTATGGGAACAAGACATAGCCCTTTATGTTTAGTCAGATACATGCTTCCTGGGTTACCGTACAAGTAATTGCAACAGAGTGGATTGAAGTTGAAAGAAAATCTAACTTCTACACTTCTGATGGGTATCAAACCCATGACCTCAATGTAATTCAATTTGCTCTCCCCTTAACCTCTTCAGCCATTTCCATCATAATGAAGGATGTGTATAAAAAGATACAATGGCAAAATGAGAATATTTTTTGTTAAATTTCATCCATGATGTCTGATCATGGTATGCGCTGTTTATTATGCAGTCAGTACTTTATATTGAAAATATAGGAAAACGGACAAAAGCCCTCCTATTGAAAATATATAAAAATAGACAAAACCCTCCCGGACAAAAGCCCTCCTGTCCAAAAATGTCAGAGCCGGCTAAAGCCCTCCAATAAAAATGACAGGGCTGGGACAAAAGCCCTCCTTTGAAAATGACCAGGCAGTCAAGTCCATTTTAGATATTTAGCCTTGATAGTATTTTATATAAATCTTTAAACCTGAGTCTGATGACACAAATAATATTGCAATGGCCGACTTAGATTTTGAAAGAAAATTTCTTAAATTTGTACACAGAAAACTTTTATAAAATCGTCTAAAAATCTTGGGATTATATTTTGTAAACATGGCATATTTGTTGAGATAGTTAACTTACTGTAGATAACAATGTAGAGATATGACTGTAACAGACAGTGATAAGTAAATTGTTAGTTCCTGTACTACATGTTATACAAATTACAACATGACAATCATTGTATGTCTGAGGAGGTGATATTATCATCTTATCTGACATGACTCAACAGACATGCTCAATAGATATAAGTAATGTCTTTTATTGTGTGTTAAGCATTACATTATAGCATTAAAGGCCTTGTGTTCTTGAATTTAGCCAACAACACAATTTGCTGCACAGAAGGTAAGTTTTACTTTGAAAAACAATACAACATACTAAGCTCTTGTGAGGTTTTATAAGTATAAGTAATTACAAATTACAATATTGCATGACAGTAAATATTTTAGAAAAAAACCTATAAAGAAAAGTACCGGTAATTGTTAACAATTTAACAAATATATGTTAACAATTTTACATATCTCAATAGAAAACAATAGCTTTTAATCAATTAAATTGACATTTAGATTGAACCTTAATGCGTGTGGTACAGTACAACCCCTATAAAATGGCCCCTATGCTCCCTTAGCAGATAATGGTACAGTACAACCCCTGTAAAATGGCCCATATGCTCCCTTAGCATATAATGGTACAGTACAACCCCTGTAAAATGGCCCCTATGCTCCCTTAGCAGATAATGGTACAGTTCAACCCCTGTAAAATGGCCCATATGCTCCCTAAGCATATAATGGTACAATACAACCCCTGTAAAATGGCCCATATGCTCCCTTAGCATATAATGGTACAGTACAACCCCTGTAAAATGGCCCCTATGCTCCCTAAGCAGATAATGGTACAGTTCAACCCCTGTAAAATGGCCTCTATGCTTCCTTAGCAGATAATGGTACAGTGCAACCCCTATAAATGGCCCCTTTGTTCCCTTAGCAGATAATGGTACAATACAACCCCTGTAATATGGCCCATATGCTCCCTTAACAGCTCATTGAAATTACACTACAACAGTAGTGGAAGATTTGACTGATGTGTAGGAGAGTAAATGGCATCCTAAACAATTGATATATTCATGTATAACACTGACATTCTTTCTTTTCATTATTTAATTTAGTATGACTATTGGGCATTGTGATTCTTTTATTTTAATTTACAAATCACTTTGAGGAATCTCCATTTTAATGAACATGTTATGCATTGTGACTTTGTTATTTTAGTATCATAATACCAAGACAAACTGAACAGAATGATACATACAATAATTTACACAGCATTGAACTATTAACCATTTTTGATTGACAATTTATTTCACTTAGTCTTTTTTCGAATTTTTGAAACATATATGAAAATTAATTTATTAATAATTGTGATCAAGATCTTTTCACAATAAATGTTTATTTATTTATTTAACAGATTTTAAACACTTTTATATTAAAAAGTGATTTTCCTGAAAAAATGTCACTTGAATCTTCTTCTCTTGCAGTTTTCACTAATCAGCCTACGCCAGTAGAATATTAACTTTTCATGTGAAGTGACATTCTTGACAAGATAAGTAACAGATTTTGTTTATCTAAGCTGTGATAACTCAAGTATACCAGATGGTAAACCTTGATTACAACACAGATGTCTGAGAAATTTTTATAATGTTCAAATTACAGAGAAATATTGCAGCTTTAATCAATTCTATGATTGAAAAGTCACATCTATAATAAAGCACAATCTTAGAAATCATCCATCAACACAACCTTCTAATTTTTTTGGTTGGTTTTTGTGCACCAACACAGTATCAATCACAGTCATATGGCAACTTCCCAGCTTTACTGGTGAAGGAAGACCTCAGGTACCCTTTCGTGCATTATTTTAGTCACAAGCAGGCACCTGAGTAGAACAATTGATGTTCCGTCAGCTAGCTGGATAGCTCCTTCACATGAAATTATTGAAAGTCTCAGTCAGGATTTGAACCTACAGCAGTGAACAACCTAATTACCACTTGTCCACAGATGCCCCTCAACACAACCTCCCCCAACTCAAGCACCCCTTACATTCCTCTCAGAAAGGTTCAAAAACATTAAATACCACTGAAAAATTCTTTTTAAAATTCAAATTCCCTATATTGTATGTAGGGCCCGAGTGTCTACCCTCTCTCTCAACTTGACTATCAATTGGAATTTTGCTATTTCAAAAACTTTTCATGGCATTATACAATTAATAACTTTTTTTTTTAAATATAAACAAAATGTATGAACAACAAGAGGGCCCTAGATCGCTCATTTGAGCTATTTTTCATCCCAGATGACCCTGGTGATGATGTTCGAACTCATCCAAGCAATGGGGGCAATAAAGATAGAGTTCTCTCAGACTGACCAGTATTGTTTCCCTTGAAAATAGAGGGCATAAAAATACTCTCTCTGTTCACTTCGTCAATACACATGATAGATAAACTGTAAAGTTAACATGGATTCAGGAACAAAGAAATCTCATTATTATGGATGGAGTGTCTTAAATCTGAAAAAAGAACTTACAAAAAGAGGTGCTGTTATTCATGGTAGAAAGGAGGATCTAATAGAAAGGTAATATACTGCTTTAAACTCATTAAAACTGCTATATTTTACACACCAACAGTCATTATTCATTATTCTTATGCATGTATTATATAGGTCAGTCAGGAAGGTAGATGCTTAGATACAGTATACATTACTTAGAATTGTACTGCCCAAGGTGTCTAGATTAGAGTAACTGATAAGATTTATTCATACCTATCTGCCTTTTATTACATCTACTACTGAGATGTGTATTTGTTTATCTGTAATATCCAGATTCATTTAGGGTTTTATAATGTAATGGAAGAAATGCACTTTCACACTTTCACCTGCACATACATATTGTTAACATTATGATAAATGATTTTGTATTTTACAGACTAGAGGCATATGATAGAAATCAAGATTTTCGAGGAGAAGTAGTGATTTTACCAGAACCTCTAGATCCAGACTGGCCGGGTGATGGATTTCACCAATTACAACTTGAACATCAAATCCATCTGCCTAAACTAACAAAAGAGCAAATAGATGGATACTTTAAGTACAGGATGGCAGATGACAACGAACAGATCTCAGATCTTAAAGCTCTACAAAAAGGTAAAAAAATGTATGAGAGTCAAAAGATATATGCCTGCAGTATTAATGTAAAAGCACCATCCATATTTTTCACTGGATTTGTTGGAGCTGCTATGCGTAAAAAACTAACGTACAACTACAAAATTAGGATAGACAAAGATAATGGTGAAGTACTAAACAGTCACTGTGAATGTCCATCTGGCAAGGGTCCGCATGGCACGTGCAAGCACATAGCAGCTGTGCTTTATATGTTGCATGATTTTGTACAAAGCGGATCTGACCCAAAAGTTCAACAGTCCTGCACAGAAATGTTACAAACTTTCCATAAGCCCAAGAAACAATATGCTGGAACACCTGTAAAAGCAAAAGACATCCCAAACACCTCAAGAAAATGTAAGCTGACGGACCCAAGGCCACCGGAATATCGAAATATTGAAGGCTATGAAGATCATGTAAGGAGTACAGTTTTGAATTACTGTGCAAACACATCAAAGGACATTACAATGAAGTATATGTGGGAAAGGGCTGATTTGCAAGCAGCTGCAAATGATCATAATTACTTGGATCTACCTGTCACAGAACACTGGGTTGACAATTCCTATGTATGCTCAGATAGCACCATTAAAGAGTTGGAAAAGAAAACGCGAAAACAAGCAGACTGTAAGAGATGGAAGGAAGAAAGATTGTGGAGGATAACAGCTTCTCGTTTTGGTGAGGTATGTAAGCTTACAGCACGAAGGAACATGAATAAACTATGTAACTCTTTCATGAAGACATCAAGACTTTGCAATAAAGCAATAATTCATGGAAAACAGTATGAATCAAAGGGATTAAAAGTGTTCCAATCAAAATCAGGATTGAACGTTCAGAAGTGTGGTCTATTTATTTTCAATGAAAGACCATATATAGCAGCATCGCCTGATGGTCTCATAGGTAGTGATGCCTTAGTTGAGATAAAATGTCCATACACCGGAAGAGATAATATGATAGCACCAGGAAAATTATTCCCATATTTAGAGTATCGAGATGGGGAGATAGAATTAAAGCAAACAAGCAATTACTATTATCAAGTTCAAGGACAACTGTATATATGCAAAAGACAATGGTGTTATTTCATTGTTTACACATTCAAAGACATTCTCATCAGAAAGATAATGATTGACAAAGAATACTGTGAGCATAGTCTGTTACCAAAACTTGAAGTCTTCTATGAAAAGTATCTTCGTAAATATATAGCTGCTCAACTATAATCAGTGTGAAAGAAAACAAATCAACATCTATACATAATTTGAAAAGGATGCCATTGCAGAGAAATGAGTAGACAGTGTAAATGTTAATGTATAAAAAATAATTATTTGATCGAGTGAATGAATAGAAAAATAAACAAAGATTGTATTGATTTTGTCTTAATTTTATTTAGAATTTAATATTATTATATTCTAAGTATATTCATGCTAACCTTCCAACAATACAGCGGTGAAAATTGGTAATTTTGAAGCATATAAATGCTATTCTTGAACCCAGATTAACTTTTGACATTGGAAGTTCAGAACTTAGTATTTTAAAGTTTTTCGCAAGACCAATGACTCTTTCAACATGTATACGTTTGGACGCAATGCGTCTGTCCTTCACGACTGTCTCTGGTTCAAGCTGTGATTTTCCTGCCAGCATAGTAGGTGTATTGACCTTTACATCCTTATTTGCAAATAAATCTTGCACCATTATCCCCCGGTCTGCCATAATGCTGTCTTTTTTATTAAAAAGGTCTTTCTTACAAAGATCTGAACGCTCTATTATTTGTCTGTCGCTAGCTGTTCCGGCATAAGAATCACTGACAAATGTAACTAAACCTCTTGGTGAAACACCAATCATAGTTTTGAGGGTATTTTTATGTTTATATGATGAAAACGTCGAGCTTTGAGCTGAAACATTTGATGGTTTCTGTATTGGGACCTCTGTTGCATCAAGGATGACACGTGTTGTTGAATGTTTCCTCTTAAAATCCTCGGGCATATATTGTGTAATAATATCTCTTGTAGGCCATGTATTTATTTCCTTTAGTTGACAATACATAAAGTTTATCCATGTTTCAATCACCTTCGAAATAGTCGGTTGACTCACACAGAAAAATAGGCTAAGTTCATAGTCTTCCTTATTTAGACGAAGTTTCATTAATGTTAAAAACAATTGGTTTTTTGGTTCTATCTTTTGACACTTATAATTTAAATGGTTTACAGCTGGTCCTAACACATGAAAAAACATCATGAAATGGCCATAGTCATCAAATCCAGTATAATATTTGACTGCATTAGGTTTGTCTTTATAATTTTCTATTGAATATTGTCCACTTTTGTCAGTTAATATTTCACATTGTACTTGGGTACTTGCAAATTGATCACTATCACTGGCAATGGTTGCTATTTTATTTTCTGTTATAATTTCAATCTCATTGCATAAATTGGATATATCTGGGTCACTACAGGTGGACACAGGTATGCTTGAGCGTGTACATGTTGAAGTACGCTTTTCATATCTTTTCTTCCTGTTCAAATCAGCTTCATATTTGGCTACAGGGGTCTTTGTCATGCGTTCATGAAACACTGATGGCACTGCACCTCTTATCAGCCTTTTTCGTTTCCCTGAAAGATAAAATTGTTATATATACATAGTATAAATCATAGAAAGATTTACTCACACTATTCAACTAAAATATACTGATTTATTTTAATAAAATATTACTTACATTGTACATTATATGTTATAGTACATGCACGTGTACTACATGTTCTTATTACCAACGCACCACAACATATATAGAAATACAAGTATATTATCAACACCAATGTTTAATTACCTTCTGCAGTTGTTGTATAATCCTCTGGTAGAAAATGTTTATGACACACAACATCATGCTTTGATGGTTCCCATAACTTTGTCTTATTTCCTGAAACAGCCTTTTTACTGCAACTCTCCACTTGTCTCTTAAAAACTTTGTCTTTTGGAAAATGCAATCCACCAAAGCTCTTACATAAAGGTACACAGCAATACTGCACCATTTTCAGATTGTATGTTATAAAACATTCACCTCTAGAATAATATCAACAAAGCACATTCATTAACCAAATACACAAATCAACCTTGGAATTTAGCATTGAAAAGCTATATAAACCTATGTTGTAAACACTGATAAGCGGTCAGCAGAGAGAATTTACTATGCCCTCTAAATACTACTTCCGCTGTAGAGAAAAGCAGCTTATTGCCCCCATTACCTAGACAAGCATCCTGACAAAGTTTCATGTAGATTGAGGCAAAAATGTGACCGTTAAAGTGTTAACGAACAAATGTGGAAGGACGACGGAGTCATTCAACAATCCTAAAAGCTCACCCTGTCAGCTAGCTCAGGTGAGCTAAAAAATAAATCTTACCTAACTGACCTCTTTTTGAGTCATTGAGTCATAGAGAGTGATATTATAACCAAGGTTTAGAGAGAAATTCATTAAGCTCAAACACAAATCTCAGATATTTCATTGATCAGAAAGGAACTGCCACAGAATGCATATTGTGAATGGCAAATAAAAACTCAGAGATTTTAAAAACATAAATTTCTTCAGAAAAAAAATGTTTATAACCTTGAGAGCAGAGACAGAACCATTTTTTTGCCTGGCTACAATGTGCAACATTTGCCTCATTTATGTTTTGCTAATTTCAATTTTAATATTTGTTATATTTATTTACACACAACATCTGTTTTAAAGACAGAACATCTGTTGTGAAGTAAGTTTTTATGATTCTTATTTGAAGAGTTTATTTGAAGAGTTTAGTTTTCATGACTCCTTTTTGAAGAGTATTCTTATAATCTGTAGGATTTTTGCTCAAACAGAAATCTCTAACACATCTATGTCTTGTAAGATAAAACTTGAAACTGAATAGATCTATGTTAACTTGCAAAACTGAATCTTGCAATTGGTTTTAAAGGGACCCCACTGAGTTTTTTGACATAAAGAGACTCGAAATAACTTTTCTAGAATACAGTTTCATTTGATGTAGATCTAGACCAATAACTTGTGTTCAAACTTTCAGATAATTCACTCACTCTATTTTTCTAAATGTGAAAAATGATCCAAAATTGAAAAGTGTTGAAATGCTTTCCACTCAAATCGGGCTAAAAATAATACCACAAAAATCCTATTTTCAATTTATTTCATAAATATCCAGTTGATCTATTTAAGACATTCAAATTTTATGTTTTTTAGTATGCATGCTTTTGAACCTCATTGGTGTTCCTTTAAGACTACATGTATCTGGTAGCTGTGTGCAATATAAAATGCATATAAATGCTTCTCACCTTCAAAAGATTACACAATCTAAAACTTCTTATTCAACATGACATTAAAATTTAAATAATTTTAAATTCCATAACGAAAGAGAAAATAATCTTTGTAACTTTATAAAAAAAGAGTTATAAATATAATACTTAAGAGTTGCTATATACTTATACAACATTTATAAAAAAAAGAAAATTCTCATTTTAAACAGTATCTGAACTGGCATTTCTACCATATTTTACTGATGTAGCCTAAGGGCTAAAACTCAAATCCTTGCACACACTACCTTTATCCCTGCATGCACAAGTGCTAATATTGATGGAAATCTGTATTTAAAATGCCACACCTCCATTCTAAGGAGTAAAATGTATCGTCAAAAAAAATCAAACTGACATAAAATAATGTATTTAATGATAACAGAAAATAATGTGTAAATGTTCAAAATATAGGTAAAACTATGAACATATCATGCAAAATATGGTTATGTTAAAAGAGTTTCTCTATCAGATAACTGCAGACTATCAAATTCTGCTATAACAAAATAGTGTTTGTTGAAAAACAACAACACCAAGAACACACATACACACAAAAAAAACCAGAATAATGATGTAAACATATACTATTCTGACATCAAACCCAGGTTGAAGCAGGGCAAAGTACCAGTAAATGTTTTGCCAATAGAAATAGCACATTCTGTGTAAATATATGTAATTTGTTTTAATTAGATATAGCCATGTTTATCTATGGGAATACCTGATTTATGGTGAGAGGGAAGATGGCACCAGCATGTTAATGTTATGGTAAATTGCAACATGGGGAGTCTGTCTTATCTATCTTTCAGTGAGAAATAACTGTTTTATATCACTAGACCATTTCCCTGTGTGTAGTTGTTTTTGTGGTATCTGTTCCCTAGGGTATGTTCAATTACTTCAGATTCCAATGTTGGGTCTTTCATCTCAAATTTTTCAAAAGAGTATAAATTTTAGAATTTAATGTACCTCATGATCCATCCATAGTAATGATGGGTGTTGAGCCCAAGTCAAAAATAAAGTATATGTTTTGTTTTGTACTAATACTGAACAAATGATTTTTCAGTGTTGTAGCTAAAATACATCTATTCAGTAGTAAAAACAACAACAACAAAAAAAGAAGCAAAGAAAAGAAAGGGACATAATTGTGAACATAATTCTAGAATCATCTGTCCTCTAAGAAAAAAGGACCATCACCAGACACCTATTACATAATATTATCTATATACAGGTACCTTTTGACCTGAAAAAATGGTTGTGACAGGTAAAAATCAAAATGCATAATATATAATGATACAATGCCTTGATAAAATTTAAGTTATTATTACCATAGACAAAACATTTATCCAACAGGTTAATCGGCCCCAGTCTGCCATCCCCACCAAGTGAATAATATGACAAGTGGATCTATAGACTGAGCTGCAAATGGTGCAGAGCCTGGTCAGACTGGCTCTATATTATTAAAGGCTAATCATTTCTAGTTATAGTATTTTTAAAAGGGTTAAAAATAACTGCCAATAACGATTGCTGAAGACTTTAATAATGGTGTTGAGAAATATGCTGATTTTATGCTGATTAAACAAAGTGAACATGAAACCAAAATAATCCTCAGGGACCTATCTTTATTTCTTGAAATCTAAACATAAAATCTAATTATTAACCTATATTCGGTATCATAGGAACAAGAAAAAGCTGAAATACATGATTTCCATGTTCAAAACTCATTCACTGAGAAGTAATATTTATTGAAAATTTATTTAAATTGAAAATATAGTCTTTTCCTGTGAAAGATAGATTCAAGATGTGACACCAGATATTTCTGCTTCGCAAAATCTTCCTTACTGTACATTCATGATGTCTATAATTACTGCAAATTTAGGATTTATTTTTAAATCCCCCTTTCCCAATTTCTATAAAACCCCCCACTTTAAACACTGACCATTTAAAAAACTCATGCCCCCTAAACACTACAATACAACCCCCCCCCCAAACCCCAAAAGGCTGCCCAAAATACAAACCCCTGACTTTTAAACAGAAAAAGCTCAGTTTTTTAAACCATTAATTGGGCCCTTTAAGGCAATTTTTTTCTAAATTTTTTCCTTTTCTCCCAGTTTTTAAAAATTAAAAACTATAAGGATCAAATTTACACGGGCTTTTGAAACCCAGATGGTAATATCTAGCTCGAGGGTAACTGTAATTTACAGCCAAAACCAGGCTCTACCGAGCTACGGGATCAGGGGACTGTAAGGGTTTTTCTAGCACCATATACTAAACAGAAGCTTATCTTGTCTGATATACAAGAAACTGTACACATTTAGAAAACAGAAGATGCTCATGCAGTATAGGCATGTCTCTACAGTCTGACAAGACTCTTCAAAATGTTGGCAGCTCAACTGTTGTATTTTGATACTGAAATACCTTTAACACTGAATGGACTGTTCCAAATTCAAAGCTGGGCAAACCCATTTTTCAAATTTAAAGCAGGTAAATAGTACAGATGTAGCTATATTCAGCATGTCATGACAATTTCCTAGTACATGAACAATCATTGAGTTAAAATATTGGCAAAAAGCAAACCATTCATACTGCGCTCATTATATTTACTGACTGATTTTATTGCATTATAAATTGTTTTGCATTAATAAAATATCTGTGGTCTTTTCAAAGCTTTTAAGGTAATGATTATTTTCATTCACATTCATAGATTTTCCTCCATTGAAAAGCATTAAAGAGTCATGCAGATCTGTTGAAATACATAGCTGCATGTAATAAAACAAAAGGTAAAGTTGAAAATCTATCAATACTGTAAACAACCCACTGATTGAACTAGATAAAAGAGATTTGTGCACAGTAGTATAGTTCAAAAACATGTCTATTTCATGTTAAAATCTTTCTGATTTAATGAGCTAACAGACTGGAAAGAACAGTTATAGAATAAAAACCAGAATTTTTTTTTTTAATGTATTATCTATTTGTCAAAGGGTGAGAAAAATGTAAAGCCTGACTGGTGCTCAAACCTGGAACATTTGGAATACCGTTTCACGGTTCTACTAACTGAACTATGTGGCCACTTGCACATTTTCTGGCATAAATAGTGAACAGTACTGAACCGTGACATTATCCAACATTAGACTTAAAGAGAAATCACAGTGAATTAAACTGTGAGCTATATGCAGTCATTGTTGTGCACGTGAGAAAATTGGGCAGCTTGACTAGAACTTGAACCACGTGAGAAAATTGGGCAGCTTGACTAGAACTTGAACCCAGGACTTTAGGAATACCATTCCATCACTAAGCTTAATCCGGCTGAGCTTTAACTCATCTACTCACCTAAATTGTGAACAGTTCTAAACTGTGACATTATTAAGCATTATTATATCACATTAACATATTATTTGTATAATTAATTACATTAATTATTTTATGTAAACAATTTAATTAGTATGACTGTTTAAAAAAATAATAATATATTAATTTTCAAAATGTTATAAGAAAAAAAATCATAATTAATTTTATTAAGCACATAACCTGGGATCTTAAGTCCCAGATATAACATAAAGTAATTAATGTCAATAATGGTGCAGTCTATTCTACTTAAGATATGCAAGTATACCACTTAACAACAAAAATGCTGCATCATTATATAATGATTATAGAACTTAATGTTATAATGTTAAAGCAGCATGCCTTCAGATTCATGCTAATTCTGAAATGAAATTGTGAAAAAGTATTTAAAAGTTATGTTTTGTGAAGTGAACAAAGAGATAAGTTAACACATTGCAAATAGAACTTACAATTCACATAAATTATCAAAAAGAGGTAAACATTTAACTGTGGTAGTCTAGCAGAAGAAATATGGTGACAAATACTGCAAAATCAGTATTGCATATTACTTGAA